AATATACAGGGTACATTTAAAATCAATTTAAAAAAAACAATTTTCTAATGTGATATCACGACAAAATTTACGCATCGCATTCGTAACATGAGTTGCCAAATATAAAAAAAAAGTTTTGGGAAACAAAATAAAAGCATTTTGGGGGTATAATGGGTATCTAAGCATAAAAAATAACGATGTGCAAAAACTTAAAGAATTGTTATTTGTTTGCAGTACATCGCGTTTCAATGAAATCTATCCACCAATAAAGTTTCAAGTTTATACACGTATTTCCGATATTTACTGAGTTATGCTTCAAGTTATCTTTTATAGAAATGAAATTAAAGATGATATATTATTAGGCGGCATGTTCATTAAATGTTAATGAGGTGGTGAAGTGTGGCATAACAACTAGCAAACTTGATAAGTCGCGCATTAAGGGTCTGGTTATGTAATGGGAATGAAGCTCAGATGAACTTATTCAAAATATCTGGTAAAAATAAGTAAGAAATTGATTGAAAGGAATTTCAGTGATAAAAAGAAATAAAAATGAAAATGAAATACAACAAACTAAGAGAAAACGTTGTTTTCTTAACCATATTGTTAATTTTTAATTTGAGGGAGATCGCAAGCGAATATACTGAAACGTGTATTCCGCTTCAGTCAAAACGAGAACACCTGAATATTCGTCTGAAAGGGCACGTGATTTACGAGACAACAACTGACCACCATAATTGTGCAAGATTTTGTTTCTACCTGGCGGCTTGTAAATCTTTTGATTATGACAGACGGACGAACGCTTGCAAACTGAATGATGCTGACAGCACGGATGTACAAACGGCAGAGTTTGAAACCAGAATACACGCAATCTATTCCGATATCTCCGAGTTGCCACAGGTTTGTTGTCATTGCTTTATTTCTAGATAATAGTGAAATATCAAAATTATTTCAATTTCTTTTTTCGAAGAAAATTTAAATGATTAAACAAAGCAAGAACAAACAGCATAAAAAAAGCAAATAAATTTTCACAAAGAAAGAAACAAACAAATATACAAACAAACAACTAGAAAAAAGAAAAGTATAGAAGATAGAAGGAAATTCCGTCTTATACGATACACAGATACTACCAGTTTTGGTATCACTTTATCTCAAAATACTAACCCATAAAAGCGAAAAACCCAAAACAAACTAGATATATAAACAATAAATAAAAAAAACTTATACTAATTCCAAAATGTATTGTGCTAATTACAAATAAAAAACCCCAAACAACATACATATTAAAAAATGACAAAAATAAACAACACGTGAAGAAAACAAACAAAACTGATTAACAAAGGGAAAATAAATTAAAGAAATAAAAAGGACATAAAAAAGTAGGAATAGTTCACTCGCAATGACAAAAGGGCGAAATATAATGAATTACTCCCGTCGTAAAGTTACGTTTTTCTACCATCACCACTTTGGTTAACTACCATCACCACTTTGGTTAACTACCATCACCACTTTGGTTAACTATCATCACCACTTTGGTTAACTACCATCACCACTTTGGTTAACTACCATCAACAATTTGGTTAAAGATTTATTTTTTATTAATTCCAAAATGTATTATTCTAACAACAACAACAACAGCAGCAGCAGCAGCAACAAACAACCCACAAACAAATAAACTAAAAAATAAAGAACAGAAAACTATAAAGAAAGAACTGATTAACATAAAAAAGAAAAAGAAGTAAGTAGAAATATTTCAAGAAAAGAGCGGGACGTTTACTTTTTAAAACTATTGTCACCAGCTATACCCAAAATTCTAATCGTAAAATGTATTTGGCTCAAACCTAACTATCAAGAAATTTAAAAAGACAATTGTTTATTTTATGTTTTAGTGGATTACTGATTTATCGGTGATTTTTTTTTGATAATTTCACAGCGAAAATGATCAAAATATAATTTCACACTTTTCAATGACGAAACTACTTTTTATGATTTTGCCCATGTGGTACCTCAATTTTATTTTTGATGACAATTCTGGCAATGTCAGGCTGTTTAAAGAAAAAGCAAAGCTGAAATTGATAAATGACTTAAATGTCAAAAGTAATAAAAAGAAGAAAACTTACTTCTATTTATTCAAATTCCAATCACCAAATTTCGTCTGATTTTTTTTGTTTCATTTTTACAGTCTGAAAAATACATCCCTTCCACATGCAAAACTACTCTTGGTGACATTTGGGCACATTAAAGTATCCTACGAGCAATAACTGCCGTATGCTTTATGAAAAATTGAAAAGCAATGACAACCAGCAGCCCGAAGAATAAGTAAATAACCCAGCGTTCCTGAGCCAGCTTCCAAGTTTTCCATTTTCCTAGTTGCTTTTTAATGTTTTCACATCTGTCCAAGCTTATTTTTTGTTTGTTACGATCCTCAAATAAGTTTCCTTTCTTTTAAAAAGGTGTTTAACTAACAAATCCAATTGATATTCCTCTGAATCAAACACAATTATTTTCCTCCCGTGAAATACACAACTTTAAAAAATGGCTGCCGCTTACATTTAACAAAGCCAGGTCTAATATAAATTCGTAGTAAGTAACAGAAATATGGATGGATGGTTGGACTTTTTCTCCTACAAGAATTGTTTGTTTTTATTATTAAAACAAGCGATCATTCATATTATGTTAATAAAATGAATAATATCACCGTCATTTAACGTTGATTGTCGAACTTATTTTCAGCTTAAGACTTCTTGTATTTTGTGAGAAATTCCGACTAATTCCGACTCAATGGGGTAAACAGATTTAAATATTAAAGTTAATATTATGGAAATTTCGTTTTAACTTGATTTTAAGCATAAAATAAAAAGACAATTTGTTTGTTTGTTGTGTAAGATGTATTTTTATTTCAGCTCGTGAACTTTAAAAACAGTATTCTTATTCGTGGCTACGCTACTCGTGAGAATACAATTTTTAAAGCCCACACGATGAAATAAAATTTCATCTTACACACAAACAAACTAATATCATCTATATATTAAACCAGTAGCAATATAATATGATAGATTTTAAAAATGATATATTTAAAGAACGTAAAGTGTAGCATTTAGTTTTATTCATGATAGCCTTATTAGTCATGTACAGAACATTTTTTTATTCACGTACATAGAATACGTTACTTCTTTAAAATATCATTTGTTTTACATATTTTAAAGGCCCGTTATGCTTCTGAAATGCTTTTATTTTTTATTTCTTAAAAGCTTTTTGTTTTGGCTGTACGTTTCTTATTATTCATTATGCAATTACCTGAACTATCTTTTTTTTCAATTTTGCGTTTGACAATCAGTACAGTTATAGTTATTTGGAATTTTATATGGAAGTCAAAATACATTTGTTTACATTTTACTAATTTTATGACAAATTGTTTTACGTTTAGTGCTACTTCTTCTAACATGCTCTAACACCATTATTTATACGCTACACAGTTCATGTTTGCCATTTTTAAAGAAAAAAAAACAACAAAATATTCGTTTCTGAATGCTCCTTTAAATATTTCAACAAACATTAAATACATTATAAAAATTGTTTTAAATGATGAAAACATAAATGAGCCGCGTCACGACAAAAACAACATAACAGGGTTTGCGACCAGCATGGATCCAGACCAGCCTGTGCATCCTTGCAGTGCAGTCTGATCAGGATCCATGCTGTTCGCTATCAGTTTCTCAACTTGCTATAGGGTTTGTAAGCGAACAGCATGGATCCTGATCAGACTGTGCGGATGCGCAGGCTGGTCTAGATCCATGCTGGTCGCAAACCCATTATGTTGGTTTTGTCGTGACGCGGCTCAAATGGAATGTTATAATTGCCAAGATATTTTCAAAAGGAGTCAGTTAAATGATATAAAATCAGAAGGTTGCGAATATTTAATCATGCTTGGCCATCCACTCTTGAAACAATAAATAACTATCTATTTCACAAAGTTTCAATGGGTTAAACCCCTCTTTATGAACGAGTTTGTTGTTAATTTTTCTATTTTTTTTCTTATTGTTATGATTTCTAAATACAGCAAAACGTCAAAAGCTAATGAAAAGCGTTTGTTTTCATTGAACTGATTATATATACTGTTAATTTTCTAAATAACATACCAATCGTCATTTTCTTACACTGTTATCTACAAACCAATACAGGAAAAAAGGAAAAAATAAACAGCAAACTTCTTGCTAAAGAGGGGTTTAACCCTTCGAAACGTTGGAGGTTGAAGAACTCTATTAAAATTAATTGTACAAACTTTCTAATGAATTCTCACTAAAGCGAATTCTGTCGTTTTGCGAAAACTACATTACATTTTGAGAGAATGAAATGGTTTGGAAAGTATGATACTAAATGTTCTTCTAGTTGTTAAAAACAAAATTAATAAATGAAAAAAAAAATATAAATCAAAGCACAGAAGGCACTGAATGTGGTTGGTCCCAGAATTTCAGAAAGGTGCGTGAAAATTGAGATACCAATAAACCAATTTGTTTTTGTAAAGTGCCACCAGTTATAACTATAGTAAATTGGCTGTAAGACTAAATGCATCACTGATATTCAATTCAATATTTATTTGGCTGAAACAATTTATAAAAAAACACTGATGTAAATAATCATGGAACTTAATATAAGCATGTTTGTATATAAAGAATAACACAATATATCAAAACTTCGACTAATCAGGAACTTTTTTCCCCAAGATAGCTTGAAAATGAATGCGCCTGTAATTTGACAATCTTTACACAGTGATATCTCCTTAATTGTTCGGTGTAAGTGTACATATAAAGGGAAGTAACCGCTTCGAGGAGTTTGGACTACTTTCGGTTTTTGCAAATAAGCACATCAGGGTCTGAAATTTCGCTACCATTATTTGTTTGAACTGACGACCTTAACAAATTAAAATGAATAATATGAAATGTGAATATGAAACAGAAACAGACGTATGTAATCAAATTATAAGCAAAAGTGTTGAAAACGAATTATCATATCTGTTTTTCCAGGGAATTGCAGGTACATGTGGATCCCGGCCTTGTAGTCCGAAACAGCGTTGTCTGCCATCAAACCCACCACGATGTATAAACATTGGTACGTAAATAAATATTCAAGTTATAATGGTTTATTTTTTATATTTATTTCAATCTTGAAGCCAATGGGCGGCAGATTCCTTTTACTTTTCGCTCTACCCTTGATGTTTGAAGCAACCTGAATACTTTTTGAATCATTGTTTTTGAACGCATCGAATTCATTGTATAAAATGTAAGCAATTCCTATTGTTTAATAACGTATTTCATATAATAGTGAATTTAAATGGTTTACTAGATTCGATCATCTTGTGGTAAATATTTCTCTTACAGATTGTATATCAGTAAAAATTGCAATTTATGTTGTTCTCGTTTTTATGTTTCACATATACGGCTGGTTGGATATTGTGATTTACCACAATTGTTTCCGTTTCTTAATGAAAAAAAAAATATTTTCTTAAAACTTATATGTTAGGACATGTTTAAACATGGAAAAACGCGATTTTGGGTAAATTCAGATATTTTCATCATTTTCTGTTAACCCATTACACGATATACACGCTTTTTAACGCCTTTTTTCAACCCCATTTTTTTGTTGTCTCAAATGGTGAAAAATTCCTTATTTAGGCCTCAACATTTGTTTTTATTTGAGAAATGTTGTTTAAAAAAGTGAACACTTTTTCGGCGCGCCCCCTATCCAAAAGACACATCAGGGGGTTGCGAGAAGGGGGATGGGCGCCAGTCACCTTTATCGCCAAGATAAGTTTAGACTTGTGAGAGGCTAAAAATGACCCCAGATCGATCAAAAGGTAACGTGTAATCGAAGTTGGAAAGCCTTTGACTCTATCTCAATCAATTGAGAAGTTACAGCACTTTAAAATCAATTTTGATGGAAAAAATCAACGCAAAATAGTACTTTTTGGCAATTTTGAGATGTCTGCTCGTTGCCATGGTAACAGGAAATTTAAGAATGAGCACGTTGTTACAAAGTCAATATTTGTGCCACGTTTGATAAGTATTGAAGCCGTTCTTATAGTTTTATGTGAACTTGTAACGGGAGAATTTTCAATAAAAATAGCCATTTTTCACAAAATGCTCATGCAGTAATGGGTTAAAACGAATGAATGATCTTATAATCTATCTGTTTTTCTTGCATGTTTTCCACGAGTACATCGGTGTATCTTGTGAATAATATTTCAATCTTTTTTTCTTACGGTATTTATCCTTTAGTGGAGCTTGTGATTTTTCTTTTAGGTTTTATAGGTCTCCTTACTGAATTCTGTGTTTGGGTCTTGTGACTTTCCTTATTTACATAGTACGGTTTAGTAGATCTAATTATTTTTGTTTTGTTTTTATGTTTCCTTACTGGGATGATCACATGGCATATTTTTCTTGTTTTTATGTTTTCCTTACTCAATGCGGTGGATATTGTGAATAATCATTCTAGTTTATGTCACCATTACATAATGCGGCTAGATGGATCTCGTTATTGTCTTCCTTCCAAAATTCGTAAGCAACTAAAAAGTGACCTACATTACTTAAAAAAAGTCCTTACATTATGCGACTTGGTTCATCAAACGATTTCAAATTAATTTCTAATTTTTTTGTATATTCCATGACAACAGAATGTGGTGACGTTGAATCAATTGATAATGGAATTATTGAACTAGCAATTACTAAATTATTAACTTTAGATCCAATGACTTACATAATTATACATGTACAATTTTTGTACTTATTAAAGAGTGACTAAGACATGAATGAATTATGGAACAATCTAATCACCCCTGTAAGTGTTTGCTGGTTCGTCAACAGAATTAAGTTAAAAATATCCAGCCCGGTCTTACCGCCATTAAACATCCGGTCCCCTTGTGACAATTTATAAAAGAGATACACATTCTGATATACTTTATATTTTTATATATTTTTACGAAAACATAAAACCATGTCAGATGAGCTTAGATCCATGTAAGCAATTAAAAGGTGAACAATAAATTTTCCATTTGTGACAGAACGTGATATAATTGAAGAAGTTAAGTAATAACTGTTTGCTTATATATCATATGTAGAGATGATAACAGATATGATAAATGTTTTAGAACACATATGTGTTCATTGATTGATGAGGAAAAAATCATCGAGACAAATATGACCAACGGTAGTCTAGAAGAATATTTTGCATGATGTCTAGAATGTGTTCGTGCATATAACAAATGAAACAATAATCTAGCAATTATAGAAATAAGAACATCGTGTCCTACCAAGAAAAAGATACAGTAAAGAATGCAAAATATCTTTATACTAATAGACAGAAAAAATGTTACCATGAACACTTACGCCAATAAATAGTTGAATTAAAATGCAAAGTGATACCCAAAAAAAGTTGCATTGAAGAAAGTAAAGAAGCTACTGTAGTTATACCAAGAAACAGTAAAAGTTAAGAATGCTAAAAACTTGAAGTTGTAGGGTCAAGAAATAGTAAAATTAAAAGGCACAAAATACTATTGATATCACGAAATAGTAAAATTATAGACTACTAAGTTATAAAAAAAGTTTAAAAAGAAGGCAGAGAAACTGAAGAGATTATTGACATTCATGTAGCCCGGGTCTCCACGATACCGGTGTACATATTTTATACAAGGTGTTTTTCATATAAAAATTTACTGACTTGAAAAAAAGAAGGAATAAACAACTTCATTAACATTTAATCCTCTTAAAATTACATTACAGAGTTCTGTTACTCTGAAATTCTCGCTCATTGCGAATGTAAACAATGGTCGACCATTTTGTATGACGTATGCAAAACAGACTTCATGCTACCGGTGCACTGGTAAAAATGTTATTTATATGGAAAGCCATTGCAGTTTTAATAGCAAATATATCATTTTAGCATTCTTGTATTCATATCTGAAAAAAAACGCTTAAAAACAACATAAAAACGTGTGTTTCAATAATTTATTGTTCATCTTTTATGACTCCCAAGGGGTCTCTGTTTTAGAACCTTTTCCTCCCAATTACAGGTGTATATTATACCATGTGGCTGGATTCAAAAATACCCCTTCACTTAATTTTAGTGTTGTTGTGATTGTCTGGTCCTTTTGTATCATTGATTCAATTTTATTTCTATATGATGAAGATAAAATATCGATATGGCACTTTACACAGGCTCCCTTAAAAGACTGAATGAAACTGACTTTTTAATTTTCATAAACTATTTTATATGCAGTAATGGCTTTCCATTAATTAATTTTCTCCCGCCAAATTATGTCAAAAGGTCAAGTGACATTTAATGGAGGTTGAATGACGTCAGCACCTGTGATTTTTTTTTCTTGGAAAAAAATGTGTTTTGTAGAGAGACTATTTTATGCAATGGAAAAATAGGATAGTAAAATAAAAATCAGGTAGGATATGTGAAATATTTCCTTCAGAAACTCTTGAAAATGTTTAAAAACTTTGAAATAGCCAATATTACTGGGAGAATGTCAATATAAACACTCGGTAGGTGGTGTTGACAAAAATATCGCGAGATTTGTGAATATACCGGTACCGTGGAGTCACCGGTATCATGGGGTTCGAGTATACTATTGTTTCACTTTATCATTTGTGTTTGAAAACTGGTTGCTCTGAAAGTTTATCTTTAATTGTATTTTTTACAGGATAAATTCTGATTATTGTTTCGTTATTATTTCACAAGCAATTATCTTTGCAGATATCTCTACTATCCAATGTCACGTTGAAGGTAAATGGGAAGAAAAGACGTGCGTCCCAAAGGGTAAATGACGTTCAATGTTTTCATAGTTTATCCTGTGTGAACAAGACATATATTGATAAAATCATCTACTCTAGTTCCAACAAGAGCAAACCAAACACAGAAACAGACAAAAATTATACATTAAGAAAACAAACAAAACAACAACAATAACAGCAGCGACCATGTAACTCCGTTTTTACTGCAATAAAACTTTTTTTCGTATTTTCACAGGTATCTTGTCGAACTTCTTACTTCTAAATTCAGCCAATAATCAAAATTGAAAATCATCTATGTTTTACACCATTTTACTAACTGGTAAATGAGAAGAAAGAAACGAGCGACCCAAAAGGTAGAAAACGTTCAACCCTGTTTGAACATTTTAACAAGACATATATTGATAAAAGCATTTTAGTTTCGTTCCGTCAAGAGGAAACCAAACACAGAAACAGGCAAAAATTATATATTAATAAAACAAACAAAACAAAAGCAACAACAAAAACAACAAAAAATATTCCGTTCTATGTTTTTGCATGTACGACCTAATATATCAAGTACTCGCCATAAAGAATGTCATCATTAAATGGGTGTCTACATTTCCTTCCTGAAGTTAGAACAAAATGGAGCTTACATTTATACAAATCATTATATAATGAAAAGCAGATTTGAAATGATTGTAGGTCAAATCATGTCATCTTAAAATATATATGCACGACCGTATAACTCCGTTTTCATCTCACTGAAACATTGTTTGGTTCTTTCACGAGTGTCTTGCCGGACTACTTATCATTTATTTTCAAGTATTAAATTGACAGAACTGAAATATCATCTATATATAACTTCATTTCACTCATTAATCATTTTTATCAAAGTTCTTCTAATATTGTGCGTGTGCTAACATTTGTTCACAGCTGATGTCTGTGTACATGTACTAAGTTAACGAAAACATAACATGTTGAATTTATGTTTTTGTCGTATCGGACGACTTTTCAATGGTGACCTTTTCATTGTTACTTTGTAATTCAGATTGTGGTCAACCTACGACAGAAAATGGAATTGCAACATTGCTGGACTCGTCTAATACAACATATATGGCACTAGCTACTGTCACGTGTAACGAGGGATACGAGACGAACATATCACATGTCAGGTGTCAGTCTGATGGCACTTGGTCTGCAGGAAATTGTTCAAAAACGAGTATGACTGTCTCGTTTGTTCCAACATGTTGAATAATTATGTAATATCGGTTGTCCTTTAACTTATAAATACATCAATTTTTTGTAAAGCGCTCAAATGGCTTATGTCAGTTGGGCGGGTAATGAACTCAGCTGGAAACTTCACATTTGATAGATCTCATTAAGAAGAAGCGAGCTGGTTTAGAACTATAACTCTTTCGTTACTAATGTTTGATATATTGCCCTTTGTAACATAAGCGTCTTATATGAAAAGAAAATATCACAAACCAGCGTTTCACTGTAATATGCTTCATCACTTTATATGATAAAAAATAAACATATGATTCAGATACCTTCATTTATACTATTATTAATTGAACATGTTAATACAACGGTATTCCAAATAGAGATCTAAGTATGACTTTTGATATTATGATACGTTTTGAACATTTGAAAGTTAAATTCAATAAAGTTTCACCTCTGGTGATTTAAATTTCTAGATTGCACACCTTTTCAGGTTGTGATGCATTTTTGTCGTGTCTCACGACGTTTCAATGGTGACCTTCCTTTGTATTTCAGATTGTGGTCAACCTACGACAGAAAATGGATTTGCAAAATTACTGGACTCGTCTGATACAAGATATATGGCACTAGCTACTGTCATGTGTAACGGAGGATACGAGACGAACATATCACATGTCACGTGTCAGTCTGATGGTACATGGTCAGCAGGGAATTGTTCAATAATTAGTATGATAGTCTTTTTTTGTTCCAACATATTGAATAATTATGTAATATTAGTTTTCCTTTAACTAATAACATATTGCAATTATTTGTAAAGCATAAAAAAGTGATTATATGGCTTATGTCAGTGGGGAAGGGTAATGAACACAGTTGGAAACTTCACATTGGTTGGATCTCATTAAAAAGAAGCGAGCTGGTTTAGAACTATAATTCTAACACTCCTCGTGATTTTGTCACTAAAGACAAAGAAGAAAAAAGCCGGTGTTAAACTGTCAATAAACACTGGTTAGGGACTTTTGTATGACTTTGATGTAATGGTACTTTTTTAACATTTGAAAGTTAAATTTAATAAAGTTTCACCTCTGATTATTTAAATGTTCTAGATTGCACACCTTTTCAGGTTGCGGTTCATTACCAAGTATTGCAAATGGTGTCGCGACTCTTTCTCTACCAGGATCAACTCTATATCTAGATACAGCTACACTTGACTGTAATTTCGGGTTTACCGCTACTCCAGCCACGTTTAAATGTTTGTCGTCAAAGTCATGGGAACATTCGCATTGTGGTAAGATCTGCTATTTGATTTACGATTTAATTAATTCGGACTTAATCTAACTCATGTTATGGTGATAAAAAATAAGTCAGGTAGATGCTGATTAAATGAGCCAGACAGTGTGAAGGTCAGCTTTATCTCTTGGCGCAGTAGACATCAATGTGAAATGTTTTTACCTATGACCGGCATTGACGTTGTTAGTCAGGTTGTTGACTATTGTGCTTTGTATATTAGTGACTTCATGGTGCAAGTGAATTCAAACTCTTCTTTAAAGGGATATTCAGGCAAAATAATGACAATAATATTAAAATGATCTTAAGTACTCAAATCACTCTAAAATGGCATTTCTTAAAGTTTCAGCATGAATTTCTGCTTAAATTCTATATATTTTGGGTTTTAAGCGTAAATATGTCTATATATGTTGAACAAAATTTAGACGCCAATGGAATCACCGAATAGTTTTAAAACAAGTCAAGTGACTTGAACAAACCCTTGAAATGACAATAACAGATATTATGGGTATTGTATAATTGAAACAAGTCATTCATTTGACATGTTCTTTAATGTTTACAGAGTTCACTGTGACAACTACATGTATTGTGAAATCCTAGCGCTCTAACCTGACCCACGCAGGTCAAGTTAGGAAACCACTTTTTTATTCTTTAAAAGAGAAAAGTTCCTTTGATCGTCTAATATATTCATTTTGAGAGCATTTACAGAAAAATGAATGAAGAATTCAAAACTAAGAAATGTGTCTCCCTTTAAGGTCAAAATTGGGATCTGCACGTTATGTCATATTCTGACATTTAAGGAAGCAACTTTATTGTTGCGCTTTCCTCACTATCACTTGATGGTTATCATTTAAACCAAGATAATCTTTTTCAGCAGTTTTAAGGTAACATCACTGTCTCTGAAATTTAAGATCGAATTAACTGACAGACAAGCGTTCTCCATGTTGCCACTTCATTGCTCTTCCCATTATTCTTTTTTCGCCAAATAACAGATTTAGGCTACAGGAAATCCTTACTGAATGAAAAGCATCAAATTTACCGTTATCATACACTCACTAGATTATCAATATTAGGAAGTGTAAGCCAAGAAGGACTGACGGATGTACGTTCAAACTAGAAGATACTTATGTTACTCCTCTATTATTCTTTCTTTTAATCAATGCAAAAGTACAGTTTACATTAAATCATCTTCCACACGAGTATCCTATTTACGATAGCAAAAAGGAGGTCTTTCATACGCGCCAAGATTTAAAACAAATTTTTTAATAATTTACAGGTGGGACACTGGGAAAACCGCTTCTACGTATTATATATTTAACGATAAAAAGCCACATTTTACTCATATCATGGTTATTGTAGTTTCCTCGATATAACTTTTTTTTTCTATTAGTTATATTAATATGCTTGTTCAATATCTTACCTTTTCATCTCACATTCCCTAAATTTGGTTTGCACGTTTGCAAAAGTATCTAGAGCATCGACAAATCATTTCAATCATTTATGGCGTAGATAACAAAACAATGCTAACCAAACTTTGGAACCTAAAGATGACCCGCCGTTATTCAGACGGATGTAGACGGGTGTAAAAAAGTTAGCCTTCTGTTAGAAATATAACATTTGTCATCGTAGGATACCCACGGCCGAACCAATAACATTAATCAAATGTTATGCCATCAACCGTGGGTATCCGACGATGAACATTTGTATTAAAAGTTTGTTATGTTCCTCTATTTTAGCCTGTATGCCACCAGACAATTACACCGGAAGTCTGGATAGCACCAAAAACGGATATACATGTCAGAGATGGGATTCCCAAATTCCACACCACCATACAGAAACTAACGACTCACTTTACCCGGATACATCTGTATCAGCTGCAAATAATTATTGTAGATCTATCGGACGAGGCTATCTTTGGTGTTTCATCACCTACGAATACCTACGATGGGACTATTGTAATGAGCCGACGTATATTTGTTGAATATTCGATCCAAAAGACATTATAGACTTAGGTCTGTCCATTGATTCGGGCTGACTTGTCGGTTCCTGTAATGCAATGAGGATGACAGTTGTATACACACCTTCTGACCAATAAATGCGTCGGTATACTACTCATTTAAAATGACGCTTTGAAAAATTTTCTTATTAATTATATTTCTTTTTTTTTTCAAATTAATTCAAGAGACCGACAATAGGTCGATTTTTATGAAAATTCTCGTAGGTTTTGTTACAAAAAATGTACAAACCATCTGATTTCGATTTTATTAGAGTTTTACATAATATATAAGAAGACACAGCTAGGCGAAGGCAAACGACATAAGATCTTGTTTTTCTTCATTTTAAAGTATAGATCTGCCATAATAGCACTTTGTCAGGCCGTGTCGTGTTTTCTCATGACACGACACGAATCACTTCATGACGTCATTATCCTGTACTCCTATGATTCCAATATTTTTGTCATTCGCAGCGGCTAAAGTCCTGCTCATCCAAAGTTAAAGTTTTAGATTTACACCTAATGTTTATAATTGGACTTGTGTAAATACATTTTTCAAACTTTTTTTTATGTATTTTATATTGTCACATTCACGCTTTTTAAAGTAGATAGATGTATGATGTACATTAGATATGAAATCTTTTTCATTGATTTTTGTGTACAAATCCATAAAAAATAGACTTAGGTTGTTGTATAATATAATATTTTGAATGAAGATTGACTGTGTCTTTCGTCAACACAATACTTAACCGAAGAATGTCATCCATACAATACAACTTATATTTTTTGGTAATGAAAGCCCATTTTGCTAATTCACGTCTTATTTCCCATAAAACTTTTTTTCTATTAATTATATAAATGCTGTTCTATATACTTTCTTTTCATCACATTCCATTTGTTCAGTTTGGAAAGTATACTAGAGCATCGACAAATATAATCATTTATTAAATAACAAGAACATGCACATCTAAAGGAACTTAGAATCAGCGTTATCAGTTGTAAGACGGGTTTAAAGTTGCCTCTTTGAAAAAATTTGTCATGTAGTTTTACCACACGTAATAATTTAAAAAGTTTGCATCAACCATTATCCGAGATGAACATTTGTATTAATTTTTTTATTTTTCTAATTTATAGCCTTAAGTGCCACTGCTTAAAACGAAGTCTGGTAATGCACCAAAAACGGAATTGTCAGAAATGATTTCCAATTCCACACTACCATACAGTAAACTAGATCATTAGGATACATGTATCAGCTGCAAATAATTATTGTAGATCTTTCTACAGTTTCTTTGGTTTTCATACTAGATAACAGATAGACATTTTAATGAGCGAAACGTAAGAAATTTGGGATTCAACATTTACTTAGGTTTTTGACGTACTGCGGTTGCCTGTAATGCAATGAAATTTGTCCACTTTTGACAATTGGTGCTATACTACATTTATTAATTGCAGCAATGTTGTGTTGTTGTTTTGTTTTTTTGTTGTATTTTTTGTGTTTTTCTTTTTTTGAATGAACTTAAAACTTTTCTATCATTAATTGACCAACTATCATTTTCTGAAGTATTTTTTACAAAACAAAACCATATGATATTGTATAATTAAGTTTAACAAATATATCAGACTGAGGTTAAGATTAATACAACAAAAATTAAAAGATGCAAAATGGTTATGGGTTGAGAAAAAATGAAAGTCTATCCTACGCTAAACCGCTAAGTACTGTGATAGTATTTCGACTTTTGAACACAGCTAACGAAGCAGACGACATGACCTGTTTCTGTTTAAATAAAATTGAAATAGCATTTTGTATTTACTTTTTTAGAAACAATACTATGACGTTTATCCCTGTACTCACGATATTCCAATATTTTTAACGTGGCTAAATCTATAAAAGTAAAGTGATTTCACCATAATTGATTGTTAAATACTTTTTAATCATGTTTTATTATATATTCAATTATGTTTATATAAGTGATTAATGTATATTCATTATTGAAATCTTTCATTGATTTTTTGAGCAAATCATAAAAATAGACTGGTTGTTAAAATTAAATCTTGTAAGATTGCTTGTTTTCGTAAAATATTAACGGAATGACCATAATCATCTTTTTTGTAATAAAAGATACATGTTCAATAACGTTACTTATAAAACATATCCTTTGTGAAAGAGACTTCAACTTTTTATATTATGAAGAAAATTTACAGAAACAAAAATGGTCAAGAACTTGGCAATCAAGAAGATTGGAATCAAGCGTTAGTAAGTTGTAAACATTTAAAGTTCTATTTGTAAAAATTATGTATTATTTTACAACATGTATATTAAACGCTTGCTTGCATACTTATATTATCTGGCATCGACATCCTTTATTTTAAATTATATATGTTTTTACGATTTCTTTAATAATATATGGACAAAACACTTCACATTATTGCACTTACTTAACAATGGTCAGGAACTTGGCCAGCAAGATAGATTTGTCACATCCATTTTTCTTGCATCTATGCCATACAGTTTAATATTTAGCTGATTAGACACTGTCAATATGCATAACTATGTCAACCAATTATCTGAAGTTATCTGTTCTTCCTTTCTGAGCAAATAGATACACAATTTAAGCAGGTTGGTTACCAACAAGAATTAGTACCAGAGTAAGTTTGTTGACTTAACATCTACTTAGGCTATTGTTTGACCGTAGTGCGTTGACTTAAAATGTTTTTATTCCGGTGTATTATTTGACCGCGTTGTGGTGACTAAACATGTACTTATGCTATCATTTCACCCAGTGTGTTGATTAAACATGTACTTATGTTATTATTTGACCGCAGTATGTTGACTAAATATGTACTAAGGTTATTGTTTGACCGCAGTGTGTTGACTTAACATGTACTTACGTTATTGTTTGACCGCAGTGTGTTGACTTAACATGTACTTAGGTTATTATTTGACCGCAGTATGTTAACAAAACATGAGGCTATTGTTTGACGACCGACAGTGTGTTGACTAAATATGTACTTAGGTTATTGTTTGACCGCAGTGTGTTGACTAAACATGTACTTTGGTTATTGTTTGACCGCATAGACATCGTATTTAATTGTAATTCTGGTGAATCTATGATAAGAACATTTGCGGAACTGCTTTTGATACATGCAACAGTACTTACACCTACTTTTGGATTGAAAATAAAATTGAAATTTGCAAAATAATATATGTACTAATTAAAAATCAAACATGAACTATACAAGTTTTACAATAGCAAGTTCTTCTAATCAAATTTAAAAGTAGTAAAACTATTAAACATGTGATCATTTCACAATTTAATGTAACAATACGGCTTTTTAGATAACAAACGATCTGGGCAATATTCACAATAGTCTCATATTTGTTTACTTAATATCATCTTTTGGATTTTTGGTATTGAAGCTTCATCAAAATCTATTGCAGGTTTTGAGTTTATCAATAAACATCAACGTTAACAGCCCAAATGATTAGTCGTTCTCTTTATGTTAGTTATTTATCAAATAAAATTTACATGTTGATTATTATTTTGTTGTTAATATATTTGTTTGTGATTTAATTATTCAGTTGTTCAATTATTCAATGAGGTCTATTTTGAAAAAAAGTTTAACAAAAGAAGAAAACTACAAAACAAATGGCACCGACGCACATTCTTTGAAAGGAAGTGGAAGTATTTTGAATTGCCGCGTTACGTAAAATGTTCATGATATGACTAACTACGTTTTCAAAAAAGGATATACAAATTGTTCTCAATTCATATCATTTTAATGTTTAATTTAATAAATACATTACTGAATTTTAAAGTACATTTGTTATCAATTTTCCCTTAAAATAGCTTTTTTTTTACTTTTTCCCGTTTCTTTATAAAAAAAGCTGTCGTTTTTTATTATTTTGTTTTTTTTATTTTTTTTTTGAAAGTTTTTGTTTTTGGGAACCAGAAATTCACTTTACCCCCCCAAAAATATTTATTGAAAGGAACTTTTTTTTAAAATGTCAGTTTTTTTTTCTATTTTTTGATAACGAGGTCGAAAATGGATAAAAAAAATTAGTATCTGGCATTTGTTTGTTTTGTTTTTTTTCCCTTACTTAAATTTTTTTTCTACAAAAAACATGCGTTAATTTAGGGGAAGGGAGACTTTTAGGTCAATGCTTTATTTTTTGATGTTAAATTTTGCATTTTTACAGCACAGGTCATGTTTATTTTGGGATGTTTTAAACCCGGGTTTGCTTAAACCCAAAATTTTCCAGGCACCCTCAGTATATAATTGTCCCTTAATTCCTTCAATTTTTCCCACCCCCTTTCTCCCTTTTTATACCAAAAACCCGTTCAAATTCACTTTGAAAGATATCGGGCCTTTGTTGTAACAGTCTGTCCTACCCTATTTTCAATTTTTTTTGTTTTTTTTTTGGGTTTTACGTCCATCGACACGTATGGGGTCATATCGCGAATTTCCAGTTTTACTGGTGGGGAAGACTTCAGGTGCCCTTCCGTCCCATTTTTTTCAGGCAAAAAGGGGGCCCCTTTGATTTTAAAACCCACGACTTTTTGGGTTATGCTAGCTGGATAGCTTCCTCACATGAATTAATCCAAAAAGTCCTTTTGGGGGATTCAAACCAAACAGGGGTTGGGGGGGCAAGGGGTTTTTGAGTAAAACGACCTTTAACCCACCCCGGCCCACGGACCCCCCTTTTTAAATAAACTTTTTCCCTCGGCGAAAGTGAATAACGCAGACAACACCCATCTGCGCCTCTAAATGTTTACAAAAATTTTTTCAATTTTGAAAAACTTTTATTTCCCCTTAAAGTTGCTTAAAGGTTTTTGGGGGTTTTTTAAATTAAGAAAAATTTCTCTTTTTGGGCACAAATTATATATATATTACAAAGTTAACCGCTTTTACTGAAAAAGAAACGGTCTTCAAAATCTCCTAATGAAGATGGTAATCAACTTCTCAAAATTAGCACAAAAACTAGTAACAAATGTCAATTTTTTTTTGTTTCAAAATTCTTTCCCCAAAATAAAAACCGGTAAAAAAAGGGACCCGGGGTTTAAAACCCTTTGGTGATCCCCCCCCGAATGGGTTTTTGGGAACAAAAAAAAGTTTTTCTCTTGAAATTTTCGATTTATGTTTGGGGAAAAATTTTAATCGGGGAAATTTCCAGATTTAGGAAGCCCAGAGTTTTTTTGGCACGGGGACTGCCACTTCTACCAAATGAGATTTATCTACCGACTTAGTTTCTTGTTGAAACCTTATGTAGTTTTACAGTATGTCCCGGACAAAGTTCACAGTGTTAAATTGAAAAAGGGCAATAACTCCAAAAATATGAAAGGCAGAGTTACTGTTCTTTTGCACTGTACTTTATTTAATAAGATCTATCTGCCTACAAAGTTGCATAGTTATAGAATTATGTCCCGGCAAGATTTTTCTAAAAGGGTAAATTTTTAAAAAACGGGGGCAAAACAGATTTTATGGTTTTTTTAAAGGGCATTTTTCCCCAATGGGGACTATAAAAAACAAAGTGTCATGTTGATATCTTTTAATTTAAATTTTTGAGTTTTGTCCATAACAAAGTTTTAAAATTTAAAAGTGAACAAAAGGGGAACAATACAAAAAAAGGCAAGGCAAGTTAGAGCTTTTGTTCTCGAACATCTTTTTATTGAAAATTTTTTGACCCCAAAAGTTATATGTTGATATCTCTTTTAAACTTTTGGGTTATGTCCCCGGGGAACATTTTTT